CATATTCTAAGTAAGAATGTTCCATATATATTGAATGACAATTTTTTAAAGGTCCTCATGAACATGTAAGTGGGTCATAATCGCTCAATCGATCTATAAAAAGTGGGGTAACCCAACGGCGTGGTGTTAGGCCTTAGTAAATGAGGTGAAAGAGGAGGGGTAGGAAGACATAGAAGGGCTAGGGATCGGAATGGTTGTGATCATTCTTGAATGTGCAAGTCTTGGCGCTACAATGGCAACCCTCGAATGGGAAGCCATTTATTGGACAACAAGAGGCGGTGGCAAGGGTTTCGAGCATTGTTGTTCATGGGAAGATTCGTGTGCGCGTTTTTTGGATGACAAGATGAGTTGGGTGACGAGGATCACACATTTGGAGCGGAATTTGGGGAAGGAGACACTATAAAAGGGTGCTTTGTTTCTTTTCAAACGTCTTCTTCTTTAGACTTCTTACAAAAAGCGTTCATCTTTCTCTCCATTGTCTAGTCATTACACATAGTGACATATCAGTTGTTATATCGTAGACCGCGGTCAAAACGGCGTCGTTTTTTTAAGTAAAGAAACTGCGAGCCGTTACAGTTAATGGAGCGCGCATATTTGGTGTATTAATTATCAACCGACACTACAATGTATTTAAATTGATACTGCCTCACGTATTATTTTATATATTATCAACTGAAACTGCAATTCAATTGAAGTGAAACTGTAGTTGTGTTGAAATGAAACTATAGTATATCTAAATTGACACTGCATCACGTATTATTTTTATATTATCAACTGAAATTGAGGTGTGTTGAAATGAAATTGCGGAGTATATAAAATGAAAATGAATAACATTTCACATTTTTTAGTGTATATTGTGCAATGAAGCTGTAGTTATATCGAAATGACCATGTAGTTGTGTTTTAATGAAACTATGATGTATATAAAATAAAATTAAATAATATTTTCACATATTTGGGTGTCATAAAATCGAATGAAACTGTAGTTATATCAAATGAAACTACAGTGTATACAAAATGAAACTGAATAACAGAATTACTTTTTATAAAATGGCACAGAACGACGCGAAATATATGACGTTTCTTTTCATTAAATAAAACAACATCGTTTTAACGCGCGGTGTATAATCGATTATGCACCGTGGTGCACGATATAATTTGCCGTGACATAGTGTCTAGCAAGTGTGATTTTTGGGCTTTGACCTATTGTTAAGTCTTAACTTATTATTGGGTTTGGATACTATTATTAATTTGCCTATATTATTTCCCTCGCTTTACTATTACTTCAATCTAATTTTATACTGAGGTTGATTCATTGAAAGCCATTAAAAAACAATACATGCAATTAGCTCAACATATAACAAAAATAATGTAATGAGAATACTCAAACTATGATTGTATTCGAATTATAAACCAGTTTATGTGTGTTTATACGATGATTGGGCCATTATATAAAGCACTAGTTTTTTTATGCGCATTGCGCAATTGAGATAATGCTCAATGTTTTTTTTTTTTAAATAAGTACACTATAAAATATATCAATGCAAGATTATATTGGAATTGTTCATGCATAGATAATTGAATGTTAAATTTGCATATTTAAATAGGTAATTCTAAGTTTACAAATGCAAGATAATATAGTCAAGATTGATTATAATTGTCAATAAAATAATTGTGTGGGTATGGTTGAAACCAAATATGGGAAATAAGGGAGAACAAATAAAAATTAGGGCATAAAATATTAAATATATCATAATATTGAAGAGCTAACGTGCTGACTGCCAAACAAGGACATTGCGAGATAGTTTCCCAATTCAATTTGTTGTGTGATCTGAATACTCTTTTTGTCAATAAATCCCCTAAATAGTTAATATGATTGGCTTAATTATACTTTTTATTTTTATTTTTATAATAATAATAATAATAATAATAATAATAATAATAATAATAATTATTATTATTATTATTATTATTATTATTATTATTATTATTATTATTATTATTATTATTATTATGAAGTATATGTATACCTTTAGGTTATTTTACATGTTAATCTAAACGGCTAATTTTTTCAAATATCTTTTTACCAACCGTTGATATAATTCGCTGGTCAAATCCGCTAACTGCTGATTATCAAACAAGGACATTGCGATGTAGTTCTCACTTCAATTTGTTGTGTGATTTGAATACTCTCTTTGTCAACAAATCCCTCAAGTAGTTAATATGACTGGCTTTATTAATTATGTTTTTTTAATTTTTACTTTTTTCATGGTATTAATAAAATACTTGATAAATAAATATATAGCATTATTTTGTATTATAATTTTGATATTTAATTAAAAAATAGTGCATAAAAACGATAATAGACAATGTAGTGAATATAATTAATTGATTAATTTGAATGTAAAGAATTTTTACATTGGAGAAAAATAAAAACAATATAACTAATGAAATTATTTCTCTTATTTAATTTATTTATTGATAATGAATAATTTTTTTTTTTGAATAAAGACATTGTACACACATAATTTTAAATTGAAGAAATGCATATGTATTATTTTTTGGTGTAGCTATTAAATTATTAATTAATTTAATAAGAGTAAAATAGAGTACTAATTATGCCAACTTTAATTTGATTGGGATGGGGTTCGAACCTGAGACCTTTCTTATTAAAATCAATGAGTAAGTTAACGGTGAACTAACAGAAACTAACGGAAAGATAATATTTAACGGAAAAGTTAACGGATAATCATATTCATTAAGGATAAATTAGAAAATCTCAAGGAAAAATTAAAATCTGATCAATCTGAGCCATTCATTTGATTAAAAAATTTGACCGCCATTTTTTCTAACCATTATAGGCCTAACTCTCTTGGGCTCTTATTAGTATAGTAGATAGTAGATATAGTAGATATAGTAGATATAACATAGTTAAAATGCCCCAACGCCCTCCCATTTGAATAATGGTATGTACATTATATTAGTGTTGGCGCTAGGCCATGGTGTTACCGTGTTAATAGGATTCAATCTTTTCACCGTAAAATTTTTTACTTTCCACCCGTGTATTCTTCTCCCACATATGAACAATATTAGTAATTAGCAAATTTAACCCTAATTATAATGACCAAAGGCATATGTTAGGACCCAATAGAGGGCTCATTGATTAGGTTAAAAAATTGACTTAACCATTTAGATAAATTTGTCCTTCAATTAGATCCATATTATTTATTGGACTTGTGCAGTTTGGCCATTAAATTCAATAAACAAAGGTACAGTCCATTGCAATTGTGTAGATTTAAAAAAAAAAAAAAAAAAAAAAAAAAAGAAGAAGAAGTCAACGCTAACTTTAATTTAATATCTAACTCAATACCACACCTATTACAAAATTTATACTATACTTAATTCTTAATTATCGAATTAATGAACCCTATCCCAATATTAAACCTGCAGTCCAATCTCCTTTAAGTTCTACGGAGTAACACCTATTTGTTCCCAAAATGGAGGCAAATTATTCCGTGGATCAGGGTTCATCTTGTAAGGTGGACCTAAGTTCAAAGATACACAATTTATAGATTAAATGTTCATAATTTATCTTTTAAAAATTTACAATTTGTAATGACCATGTATTGTATTCACAAATTCTCAAAACTTAAAAACACATTTTATAATCTAGATGTTCACAATTCAAATACTGACAGGGCGTTTGGTTTACTGTAATTTAGCTGTAGTTGAATTGCAATTCAGTGGATGTCTCAATTACATTGTTTGGTTGGAGGGAATTGCAATTCTCTCCTTTTGTTGAATTGCAATTCAATGGGGTGTTTGGTTGGCATGAATTGCATTAACATTGAATTGCAATTCAATGAAATGATAAACTACATTGTTTGGTTGGAGGGAATTGGAATTCCAATTCCCCCAATTCATTGAATTGCAATTCATATGTGCCCCCCCTATGAATTGCAATTCAATGAATTCATCCATACAATGAAAAGGGAAAATGAAAGAAATGACATATTTGCCCTTTGTATGTTATTATTAATATTACTAGTAATTGTCCCGTGCGATGCACGGATAAAACTTATACAATGTTAAGTAAGATTACTTTAATATTAACCTAGAGAATATTTTGTAAAGATATTGAATGTTGAAGTATATTAAAAAGTTTTATGTAAAGATACTAAATGCATTAACATAGAAAATAGTTCGCCGGAGCAGATTTGAAGCTGTTAAGTTTAAACTTTGTGTTCAAGTCAATTTTGTAGCCAATGGCTTAGGTAAATACATTTCGAATATTGTCTGGATTTTATTTACACAACTTTAAAATTATATATATATATATATATATATATATATATATATATATATATATATATATAAGCTTAATACACCAATTTAAACTAAAGAATCGTTATGTGGTTCTTATTTACAGATCTAGAAGACTGGATTCCCAGAATTGTTAGATCTGTATCTAACTAATAATGTTTAAAGTTTATGGCCATGAATAAATTTCTTCTTAAAGTCCATATTAAACTCATAGTACCTTCATATGAAATTGAATAACAGAGTTACTTTTTGCGAAAGGGTGCGGAACGGCAGAAAACAGATGCCGTTTCTGTTACGGATGTCGTTTCTTTTCATTAAACAAAACGACGTCATTTTGCTGCATAGTGCACAATCGATTATGCGATATAATTTGCCAAAATGGAGTACCAACGTTTTTCAAGCCAGAAATTAATCTTTGTTGTTTTTAAATTTTAAGCATAATACTAGAATAGTATTGGTGTAACTATAATGCTCAGAGGAGAATGCGTAACGGAAGCAAAACAGTATCGAAGATGGGAAAAATCAGAGAAAAGCCGAGAAATAGAACAGTTGGTGAGTTGCCGCTGTAGTGACATGGCACAGTAAACACGTAAGATGGTACACGTGGACTAAAGGGATTGGGTAGACCAAATAAGTCAGAAGACGCACTGCTGCCTAAAAATAATTTTCTGCCCCTCACCTGACCCCGCGTTGCAAACCTTCACTTTCTTCTCTGATTCGCATCCCGGAAAGCACCAAACCCCTCTCATCCTCCTCCTCTCGCCCACCGTCTCCCGCCCCCGTCCACGCTCACAATTGCCTCTCTATTATATATCTCTCCTCTCGGTTGATCTCTCACTTTCTCTATGCACAGTTTTGCGGTTCAAAAGCTCTTCGCCGATCGGATCGCCCAGTGAGGATTTCGATTTCCGACTGCAATCTCATCTTGTTCCGTATTTCAACTCCTCCGGATCCCTGCGTTCAATGCTGTTCTCAAGGTACTTCCCTCATTCTTTGATATATGATCATTACCTTTCACTCATTTCCTGATTTGGATCATTTGTATTTATTTATTTATTTATTTTTTGTAAATTCCTGGCATCTAAGCTGCAACTGCTACTCATATTTCAGATTGGAAGAGTATAATGGTGATTACTTTGATCTGAATTTCCTGCTAGGTTCCCTACTTTCTTCATTTTGTGATCAGTAATCTATCTATATTCAGTGTCAGTTGTAGTTGAAACCGGTGTATTTTTCGGCTTCATTTAGAAGTGCTTTGTTTTTAATAGATTATCTTGGTAATTGAGCATCATGATTGGTAGATTTTTTTCTTTTTAATTTATTTGGGCGCTCGCTGTTAATGCAACATCTTATGCAATCTAGACAACTGTGCCTGCTTTTGTTTTACCTATATGCTCTGCCACATATATAATTTGCTCTAGTCAGCTCAAATGTCTGGTATGCCTGCTTTCTGTAGAACATTTTTTTTTTTTTTTCTCGACACTGTATGATTACAAGTCTAGTAATACCCGGCAGGGAATCATATAAGTTTTCCTTTGGGAAAGCGATGGGTTGGAGCGGTTGGAGCCATGGTGGTCAGATTGGAATGGTTTGACTACTCCAATTGCACCACTCTCATTGGACCCTTACAACTCTCATGTACCCTAAATGAATAGTCTTCTCTGTTATGCTATTTCTTTCTTTTTATGTGGTTTTATTGTGACTGTTGACCCTTCTTCACCCAACCTTGATTTTGTTTTTGTCATTCTGAACTCATTTGACACCGTTTTTTGGGGTTTATTTTCAGAAACTTGATTGACTAAAGAGTATTAAGTTCCACAGACCTCTCCAGTCCTTTAGATCAATAGTTAAAAATTTATCTGAGCCACAACAATTAGGAAAGCAGACATCTTAGATCTTAAGGTTGCCTCGACCGTATTAGCAACAAAGAAAGATCAAAATACAGCGACCAGGTTCAGGGGGTGACTTACCCAAAAGCGGTGAGTTCAACCCTTTTCCTGTGGCACAAAGGGTGAATTCCTTCCATACTGTTCCAATGGATGATGATATTGAAGGATTAGGCCCTTACCAAGAGAGGCCTAGAACATTTCCAAATATGCGCAACAAATCACATGCACCATTGGTAAGTCTGGTGTTTCTACTACATGTCATTTTCCCATTTTTCTATACAGACTTAATAATTTCCCCAACTGTATCTTCATCTTGTTTCATCTAATCTATTCTGTTGGCTTATTTCTGGAGAAAGACTTTAACCTTATTTATTTTGTATAGGAGGGAGGCAGTTGCTTCTTATTTGTTAACGTCATTATTTACACAAATATTACACCCCAAAAAAAAAAGAAGAGATCCTTAGCACTTTAACTTTCATATAACCGTTAGAGAAAAATTTTCCTTTTATGGACTCCCTGTCCTGATCTCATTATGGCTTGTTTTCTTTGACTCAAGTGCTGAATCTGTTCTTTTATGCAGTTATTTCGTGCTCTAATGAGGATAAATGTTCGGGTCCTTTTAGTGCTTCTGCTCTTGTGCGCTGGAGCCATCTTTTACGTTGGTGCAAGCACCTCCCCAATCATTGTATTTGTGTTCTCGGTTTGCATTGCCAGTTTCTTCTTGTCAATTTATCTCACTAAGTGGGTGCTTTTAAAGGACGAGGGACCTCCAGAGATGTCCCAGGTAGTTTTATGATATGTTCTGATCTTTTGGTGGTGCTTTCATAGTTTATGATGTGTTTTTTTTTGATGAATAAACTATTGGGTTATTAATTATCACTAACTGAATGTATTAGGCAATGTCATCATGAACTTCTAGATTACGATTTTTTCTTGTGCATGAAATAGAGTATATAACATGGACCTGATAATAGTTATTTGGAATTGGACTAATATTTTTCTTTTTAAATATATGTTATGAATCAAATTGGTATTTCTCAATCTGGCATTGAAAATTTGAGTAAACTTCAGTTCTAGTGAAGTACTAGTTTATTTAAGTTGATAGATTCTCAGTGGTCTTGAACTCATCATTTAGTCTTCCAGATATCAGATGCAATACGTGATGGAGCTGAAGGCTTCTTTAGGACTCAGTATGGAACTATTTCAAAGATGGCATTATTGCTAGGATTGGCTATCCTTGGCATATATCTATTTCGAACGACAACTCCTCAACAAGAAGCTTCTGGTATAGGCAGGTAAGGTTGGATTCAATTCTGAATAATAACTTCGTTGCATGTTATATATTTAGTATGGTATAGTAACAGTTGTGCCCTGAAGCAGGTCAACATCTGCATATATTACTGTTATTGCCTTTCTTTTTGGGGCATTGTGCTCTGGCATTGCTGGTTATGTTGGCATGTGGGTGTCTGTACGTGCAAATGTTCGAGTCTCCAGTGCAGCAAGGCGTTCAGCAAGAGAGGCATTGCAGGTTTTTTTCCACTTCTAAATGTTACATCAACTAGAATAACAGTAAGATGGTTAATCTTACTTGACCTTCTTTATGTAGGTAGCTGTTCGTGCTGGTGGGTTTTCAGCCTTGGTAGTTGTTGGTATGGCTGTAATGGGTGTTGCTATCCTTTATGCAAGTTTTTATGTGTGGCTAGGGGTGGATTCCCCTGGTAGAATGAAGTCAGTGGATTGTAAGTTAATATCTACTTTTCTGATTTGTTTCCTGACTATAAGTTTTGCACTTTCCTTCTTTAGGTGGTATTAATTCTACTAACATTTTCATGTTGAATTCTAAATTTGTTGGTGTGCAGTGCCTTTACTTCTTGTTGGGTATGGTTTTGGAGCTTCATTCGTTGCCCTTTTTGCTCAGTTGGGTGGTGGAATATATACAAAAGCTGCTGATGTTGGTGCTGACCTTGTTGGAAAAGTAGAACAGGGAATTCCTGAAGATGATCCTCGTAACCCTGCTGTGATTGCTGATTTGGTACAAAACTTTTGATTTTTTTTTTTTAAACCTGTGATAGTAGATTTTTTATTTTTTATTTTTTATTTTACTTATGCTAGTACATTTGTGCTGAAGCTTCAGTTTTCTGGGGTTTTCTGATTTGTACATGATGTGCTCTGTCATTCCAGTGCAATTTAAGATTCACTTATCAGTTTTTGTTTATTGAAGATGTCCGCCTGTCTATTTCTAAGCATGTGCCAAATACTTTATCGTCGATAGCTGTATGGTTTTTATCCACCAAATTAGTTGATCTCTGAGTGAGTGGTGGCATGGAATATCCCTGGTTGTCTGGGGCTTTATTAGGGTCTGAAGATAAATTTGCATTAAACATAAATTCTAAAAACTTTATTTTATAGTCTGCCTTAGCAAAACGGTTAATGGTCTGTTACAATCAAATGTGTAGTTTTATGTTATTTGTTGCTACATATACACTGCATAAATAAATGAATGAAATCCTAGGAAAGTGATTCTGCTTAATTTAAACTCATTTGATCTAATTTTGTAGCAATGCCTGTGTCTCACGTATGTGATTTTGTTATACATTCATGGCTAATTCTATAATTTCTATATTGAAGGTTGGAGACAATGTTGGTGATTGTGCTGCTAGGGGTGCTGATCTTTTTGAAAGTATTGCGGCAGAAATTATCAGTGCAATGATACTTGGTGGAACTATGGCACAACGCTGTAAAATTGAAGGTGAGAATTCAGCTATAAATGGGGTACATCTCTGGATTTATTGCAACCATTGAAATCTCTATTTCTGTACTTCTGATTGCCTGATTGATTACATATTTGCTTTCTTGAATCGATTGTCAGGCTGATCCATGTATTACACACTTAATTGAAACTAGACTTTTCAATGTGCAAGGAGGCAATGTTTTATGTACCCCTAATGTGTAATAAAAATCTTTGGTATGCTTGCTCTGTAGAAATAGAACTTAAGCTGAATGTGAATGGATGAGGCAAAGACAAAACAAGTCATTAATATTTCTTTTTTGGAGAGGTTATTTTTTCACAAGGTGGAGTAGATGATTACATAGTCAACATATTTTTTTTTTGCTCGAATATATACACACACATTTCAACTTTACGATGTGTATTGGTTCCTTTTTTTCTTTCTTTCATTTATGGTTGAAGTCCTTTGTTTTTATCTTGTGACTACATACATATTTGATATGCATCTTCTGCTTATATTTTGTTAGAGGTTTGTTATGACATTACTCTTAATTCCGAGGTTTAATGCAATGGTAACTTATCAAATATTCTCTGTTCACTTTGACATGCAGATCCATCTGGATTCATTCTGTTTCCTCTTGTTGTTCACTCATTTGATCTGATTATCTCATCTTTTGGAATATTTTCGATTCGGACCAAACGTGAGTCTGGAGTAATTGGTGCTACAGAGGATCCTATGGAAATTCTTCAAAAGGGATATTCAGTTACCGTTGTTTTAGCTGTTTTGACATTTGGCTTGGTAATTACACATTCGCTCTTTCGACCTCACATACTGTTATTTTTGCTGTATTATATTTTATTGGGTATAGATGAGGGGATGGGGAAGTGGTGGAACTGGAGCTTAGTGCCTAGAAACGGGCTTGCTTAGCCCAGTAGCCCACAACTGACTAATCCCTGAACTCCATGTAGGTACTCTTATCTGATGATGGCTAATTTACTTTGCAGTCCACTCGGTGGTTGTTGTACACAGAACAAGCACCTTCTGCTTGGTTGAATTTTGCCCTTTGTGGTTTGGTTGGAATTATAACAGCATATATCTTTGTTTGGATCACTAAGTACTATACTGACTATAAACATGAACCTGTGCGCACCTTGGCTCTTGCTAGTTCCACTGGGCATGGAACTAACATAATTGCTGGTGTTAGTTTGGGTCTGGAATCTACAGCTCTACCAGTCCTTGTCATTAGTGTATCTATTGTCTCAGCTTTCTGGCTGGGTCGTACATCAGGACTGGTGGATGATACTGGAAACCCAACTGGTGGTTTGTTTGGGACAGCTGTAGCAACTATGGGAATGTTAAGTACAGCAGCATATGTTCTTACCATGGACATGTTTGGTCCAATAGCCGATAATGCTGGTGGAATAGTTGAGATGAGTCAACAGGTAATGCCTCAAAATCTGACTTGATGAAAGATGTTTAGATTCTTTTTATTATTACCAGTATTATTATTAAAAAAAAAAAACACAAATGCACTATCTACTGAATTGACTAGCATCATTGACAATATCCCTTGCAGCCAGAAAGTGTTCGTGAGATTACTGATGTTCTTGATGCGGTTGGCAACACTACTAAAGCAACAACCAAAGGATTTGCTATTGGATCTGCAGCCTTGGCATCTTTTCTTCTTTTCAGTGCTTATATGGATGAGGTTGCTGCACTTTCTAATGTACCTTTCAAGCAAGTAGGTTATTGTGCTAAAATTTTTACAAGCTTCTCTACTGGTGTCTCCCGTGTTTCTGTATATCTTTAATCTCTATGTGATATATATTTGGTGCTCAATAATTGAATATTGAATATGCAGGTTGATATAGCCATCCCTGAAGTGTTTGTTGGTGGATTATTGGGATCTATGCTTATTTTTCTATTCAGTGCATGGGCTTGTTCAGCAGTAGGTCGGACCGCTCAAGAAGTTGTAAATGAAGTCAGAAGACAATTTATTGAGAGGCCAGGAATAATGGTTTGTATTCTTCAACATTGAAATATTGTCTAATCTTGTACTGTTAATGTTTGGTATTGCATGCATTGTATGATGATTTTTTGTTTCTCTTCCGCTTCTTTGCTTGGTGAAGGACTACAAAGAGAAACCAGATTATGGTCGATGTGTATCTATTGTTGCTTCTGCATCTCTAAGGGAGATGATAAAACCTGGAGCCTTGGCTATTATATCACCTACAGTTATTGGTGAGTTCTTAGGTTTTAGTTGTTTTTTCCCATTTTGTTCCTTCCTAATTGTTGAATGCAGATGATGTTGTACAATGTTGCTTTCCTTTATTTATTTAATTCATGAATAGTATGAAGCACTTGATTTTAATGGGTGATAATGCATCTTTATGAGGTATTGGAGACATTTAATTGGTCTAAGTGTTCAATTGTTTCTTGTATCTATAGATATTTACAACTTCTATTTCCTCTATGGGGTACTTGGAAGTCATTTGATTGGTCAAAGTGTTCAAAACTTTAATTGTACCTTGGACCTATAAATTTTAACAAATTTTGTTTCCTCTATGGGGTACTGTTCAGGTTTTGTATTCCGCATATTGGGGTACTACACAGGGCAGCCCCTGCTTGGTGCAAAAGTTGTGGCTGCAATGTTGATGTTTGCAACAGTTTCTGGTATTCTCATGGCTCTTTTCCTGAACACTGCTGGTGGAGCCTGGGATAATGCAAAGAAGTACATAGAAACAGGTGCTCTTGGAGGCAAAGGGAGTGACTGCCACAAAGCAGCAATTACTGGTGATACGTGAGTTTCTTCTACGTTATATCTCTATGTGTGTTATTTTGATTCCAAACATAGCAGCATGTGCTGTAACTTCCTCTTATGGAACTCTGTAATAGAAGTAGTATTATTATCATTCTGACTTCTAAGGTATTGGATTCTTAACTTCTTCTCAGTGTTGGAGACCCTTTCAAGGACACTGCCGGACCTTCACTGCATGTACTCATCAAAATGCTTGCAACAATCACTCTGGTCATGGCTCCTATATTTCTGTGAGGGTAACTTACAATAGAATATCTTCAAGAGTACAGATTGATGTTGTTGGGAACTTTGTGTACATTGAATATGAACAGGACATCTTTGACGTAATTGAGGCCTGCTCTAATGAAAGCAGTTAATACCAATTTTCTCCAGCTTATTGGCTTTTCCTTCTGAGCTTTTGAGTAGTTGCACCATGTACAGCGGCCTGATCTCTGTGGTTTCAGTGGATTGTTATGAAGGTTTCATGACATTCCAGGAAATTTTTTGGTCAGGCTTCTACGACTTAAGTCGGAGATTAATAGACAGTTGCAGCAATAGGGTTGATGAGATTTTACCCATACTTTCTTTTACTATACTATTTTATAAGATTCGGCTGACAGTTGTACACTTTTAGCATCAATTCCATGAATGAAAATATTGAAAGTTAATTCTCTTTGCCTTAGTTTTGTGTGTTTGTATTGCATTTTATGTTTGTTTACAGATAGTATGTGTATGCCATTTGAGGTGGGGGGCTAATTTGTACTCCGTAACTAGTTCATATGGATATACTCTTTAGACTACAGTATACTCCGTATTTCACGAACCACAAAATAAAGTGGCGCGCGGATGGGCGCAAACACTATAAAATTGTTTGACTGTCATGTTTTAGGGAAGAAAATTACAGTTTTTTTAGTTAAATAGTGATTTTTTTTTTTTTTTTTATTTTGATAAAGAGCGTGAACAAAAAATATAATTTTGTTTGTGAAACTTGAATGTCATACACTGATACACATATTAAGCAAAGAATGTCAATTTTATTTTTGAGGCAAATGTCAAATATTTTGATTAGTAACGATTTGTAAATTTAATTTCTTAATGATGGTTGGTATTTTAGTTCAATATTCATTCATGAGTTTTGTCTTAAATTTTATATATACGTTAGTCCTCATGTCACTCCTACCTTTTTACTTGTTTTATAAACAAGAGATATTTTTACGCTTTCTATTTTGGCCATGTTTGGTAAAATAGTTGGCCTATCAACGAATTTTGGCTTGTTTGATCATTATTAGCTGTTTGACTTCGTTAAACAATCAATATTAGTGAATTAATTAGCTTTTGTAACAGCATTGCTCCAAAACACTAAAATTCGAAAAGCTACTCAAAGTAGCTTTTTAGATAAACTTTTTGAGAAAGTCATTTTGTATGTAATCAGTTATCAACTAACAACTAATTTATCAAACATTTTTCTACAATCAACTAATGTTATTAAATAGTCAAATCCACTAACTCAATCGGCTAACATCTATTTACCAAATACCTCTTTATATTTTCCTTCTCTCCACCAAAACAATAGAGATATGAATGGGTTCACTCAAGAATATAATCAAAGATGATACCCGGACCATGGTGAATGGTTGTAATATTATATAAACATGATGTTATACTTTATGTTTAATTGACACAACTTGTTTTATGTCATTATAATTAACTATAACTTATACTATACATGTATGATATATTACATTTTGAATATCATTATGCTTTTAGTTCACTTGATATAGTTTATTATGCATATAATTAAGTTTTAAATCATGACAGTGTGAGCATATATCCATTAATGTGTATCCAATTATCAACTTAGGCTTTTAGTTGAGATGGAGCACATGCTTCAATTTGGTATCAGAGCCAGACCAAAGGTCATGGGTTCGAATCTCAACGCCACTCATAAACGACTATTACGTGTGTTGGTTGGAATCCACCGTACACGTGAGGGGGCGTGTGAGCATATGGAGCACAGTACTATTTTTTTAAGTTCAATTTTTTTTTTCCCGGGTGAAATTTAAGTTTAAGTGTAATTTTATAATTAATGATGTAAGTTTAAGTGTATGCATCATAACATGTTATAACATAATACGGAGTACAATATTTTTAATAAATGTATTACAGAGTACATTTTATGTGAAACTTATTTGCATATATTCATCTCGTGCATCCCCCCATCTCTTGATGCTTATTAGGGACTTCATGTTGCCGGATTTAACAGTAAAACAGTGATGCACAAACATCTATAGCTACCCTAATTTCTAACGTAACGCCTACAAATTGAGAACTTTTCTATTTTGCCTTTTTGACTTTAAATAATTATTTGTTGCTGGAATAGTGGAAAAAGGTGACAATAATATAATCAATCTTTTGGAACAGATAAAAATACAACATGATCATATATATGCATTCAAATGATGTTTAGTCTAGTTTAGGCGCTCCTTTCTGTCCTTAAATCAAGCTTTACACACCAATATAAAGCCACTTTATACCAAACAAATAATAGCATGTGGCTTGACAAATAATGCGTGTATATATACTAAAAGATTTTGATGTCCTGAGTTTTATCATGTCAACAAAAAACAGTAGAAAAATAAAAAAAATTTCAGTCACTTGACTAAAATATCACTTAATTTCTCTCTTCAGTAAGAGACGCTAAAGTACAATAAGATATGTTATGTGTATTTTCCATTAGGGGGTAGGATTGTAGGAGAGTAACAGAATGTAACAATAATATAAATTAAATCTAAACCAAACACCTGCAAAGAAATGACAACTTGAAGTTTTTGAGGATGTTCTAGCAAAAAAATGCACCGGTATAGGTATGCTTTCAATTCATACGCAGAATAAAATTCGTCCATAACATGTAATTCGATAAGATTTCAGCATCAAATGTTGATTGAATGTCAATTCAAGCCCAACAAAATGTATAGTATTGGAGATAACTGAAAGCAGCGTGCTGTTCCCCCAACCAAAAGAAAAGGGAAAATTAAATTAAATGAGGTGTGAAAATGGATGGTAGTAGAGATGAGAAGACATGAAATGATCCTTTTTGAGAACAGAACACAATAGAAATGGAAAGTTTGGCCCCCACTTTAGATGGCACAAGCTCTTCCACCATGTGAACCATAGATTTGAGCCGTCCCAGTGGCCAGTGGCATCTCCACACAGTATAGTATTTTTTTTTTTTTTTTTCAAAAGTATCCCTCCAGCTGATAGCCAAAAGACTATGGCCAGTGGCATCTCCACACAATATAATATTTTTCTTTTTGGTTACCCAAAGGTATCCTTCCAGACTATCAACACACTAAGTGGTAAGGGACTGCTCAAATGGTTTGCTCCATTCACATGGGTAGGAATCGAACCCCCAATTCTCATGCTTAAGGGACGAGGTGTTAAACCACCACGCCAACCATGTTGATTCCACACAGTATAGTATGAGTAAGTCCCCACCACCACTACCCAGTGGCTCTCATAATTCCCCCTTCCCGGCGTGCCCTCTCTCACTTTCCAACATCACCACATGCCCCTCACCCACTACTTCCCATCATTATTCTTACTTATGTACACATTTCTCTTCACTTGTCTATTCCTTCCTAACACCCCCCATTCAATTCATTGCATTGCATATAAATCCAAATAAATCTCAAGATGCCTATCTACTTCATTATTTAGTTTTCTTGTCCCTCGCCACATAATTTTATTAGTTGACTAATTTAAAAAAGAATGGATAGTATGATAATCAAGGTGTAAGCCGAGTTCGACCGTTATGGATGACCCTGCTATATCTAGGTCATATATACTGTTACGTGGGTACCTGTTCACATATTTTTAGAGAACAAACATGTAAATCATTGAGTCATGTTCTTCTATTTACCTCTTCCACTAAGACTCTAGGTTAAGGACGAATAGAAACTCGTAGGATTATGATGTAATATTTTAATTTAGTTTCCGGGTCGTTTATTTAAACAAGAAGTTTATAATTTGTATTTCATATTTTGTACAACTATGTTAGTAAATGTAAGTGTTATATTGTGATTGATCTTTTGTACAAGTTTAAAGATGAACTTGTAATGGATGTCTGGGTAGTAGGATGAGCTTGATTTAAAAAAAAAAAAAAATTAAAAAAAAAAACATTGTTGATAAGGAAATATATAATTTATAATTAATGTATAAATTATTATAAATAAAGTGTGAATTCCATCATTTCGATTTTTTAAAAAATACTACTTTAATGTTATACCTATGCAAAAGTTTAGATATTTTATGATTAAAATGGATGGTGGCGGAGAAGTAAATAAAAGAATGAAAAAAGTTTGGAAGAAGAATGAAAAAAGTAGAGAAAATGTACCTTGATATATATTAGACAAATTGTATTTGATTAGATAAGCATGGGCCAGGGACTAGAGATTAGACGTGAGAAAAGAATGATGTTTAATTTGTTGTACATATATATTGAGTTATGCATATATCGTGCACACCCACCCACACCTACCCAAAAATTTATATCGTGCACCACGACGCACAGAGTAATGTGCGCCCAGGCACAAAACATCTATCCATTAAAGTTCCAACATCAATTTTATCCATGGCGGTCGTTACCGGCCGCTGTCTACCAGAGAAGATGAACCTAATTAGTCACTCCGCTTAGGAAGGAGACCAGTTGGTTGCCTTCCTTCTCTGGTAGATGGCGATTGGTGACGGTTAGGCCATCGTCGGAGATGGATAAAATTTATGTTGGAACTCTAATGACTTGTAATAGCAAGTCATTTACCAATTTTTAGACTTCATTGCTTCAATATAACATGTTAAAGGTTATAATTGCACTTTTTTAAAATTTAGGGACTAATTGACTTTTCAGGTAAAGCTTAAGGGCTTATTTGACCATTTTCTCATATAACAAGTTATTTTAATTATTTTTTTATTATGTACAAATAGTAACACTTAACAAAGCAACAAACTAAAAACTTAGAACAAAAAAAAAAAGACACACATACGCACACAGAGTAAAGGTTGGGTGGCGGGGGCCCCTAGCCCGCGGGCCAGCAAAACCTAGGCCCGTCAAAGAGCGGGTTTTTTTGTCCTCCCGCCCGCTCCTTCTATTCGTTTTGACAGCTCTAACCAAAAAACACCTAATTCATCATCTCTTAACAGTTGAGAGATAGATGCAAGGAGATTACATTCACACACCTCTGCTATGGGTAATAGCTTCTTATGACAAAAGGTGGAATCGCCCAACTTTCACATACCTCTGTTACAGGTAATAATTTCTCAACTACTCAATTTAATGTGATTGTTTATAACTTTAATTAGGAAATCACAACTTATCTTCATCTTTTTTTGTCTAGAATATATTATATATACAGACACAGTTCATTACCTAGGAATTTTTCCTACCACAACAATAAAGAAAACATTCAAAATTATTTTGGCCGGCCAAAACCGATTCTTGACCCTTAAAATCTTGTCAACTCGATTAAACATTGGTAAACTTTTGATGGTTATATAAAGCAGCAGGGCAGGCCGGGAAATATTGAAAACCAAACGTCCACACGCTAGCTACATAGTACATAGTAGTCCAAGAGAAGAGCTAGCGCGGTAGGTAGAAGAAGGTTGGAGATCGATCGAGTAAAGTGTATGGAGAAGAGCAGATCATTCCCACAATACTCCGCCGACTTTGGGTTCCAAGACCGCTCTAACACCTACAATTTCAACGGCCCCAGCACCAAAGGAGACGGCTTCGCCCCCTCCAACCATCCCGAGATGAAGAGGAAGAAGAGAATTGCGTCTTATAACACCTTCACTACTGAAGGTAAAGTTAAGTCCACTGTTAGAGAAAGCTTCAAGTGGATCAAGACCAAACTCAACGATATTCGTTATGGCCTCTAGCTAGTCACCCTTAATCTCTCTCTCTCTCTCTATATATATAAATGTAATGTTTTTCTTCTCGATCTTCTTCTTTTTTTCCTAATTAAGCTAAGGTTTCATTCCCTTCGATCCTCATCGTATATTGTTTTTGTTTTTGATGATCGTATGAAACGAGAGACTGCGTCGGTGAATTTTACCTCATAGGGGTGTTTGGATATATCTACTGATGATGATCATTTTGAGTGGTTTAATTTGTGTTTCAACTCTTTTAATTTTGTTCCCAATGAATTGTAAGATACAATAATCAATCTTATCATTCAAGTAGATTTGGTTCGGATCTTCGTTAACATCTTGAATTGTGAATGAATAGTAAATGTTGATTGAATTTGTTAGCATCACACTTAACTAATCTTCACATATATTAATTAAAGTCAGTGTAAAATAGTGAATATTGAGATCGATCTTTAACTAAAGTATAAATTATTAATGCATTTAAAATTTTCACCCAAACAAGTAAAGGTATAGTTAAAGTGATGAATCACTCTAATTTCATCTTGAAAAGGTAATTAAGGGTCCAGTTAGAGTGATGGATCACTCCCATCTCATTACACCACTCTAATCATTCAAATTTCATTACTTTTTCATAATGTGTCTTAAAATAAATAATTATCTTTGTAGGTTTGAGAACATTTTTGTCACAAAATAAATAATTATCTTCTTTGGTAGATAAGAAAAGAATCATATTCTTCTTCAATCGGATATATTATTGCATCAAGAAAATCATTACATGATGACCAATATTTATACTTCTTGAACTAATAAAGCTGGTTCAGAAAAGGATGTTGCATTAGCTGTTGTTTTGTTCTTGTAACCATTGCTTGTGATGTTCTATATTCCAGCTTGATTATAATCAAAGGAAGAAAATATAACACAATATACTCGCACTAAACATCGATGATTCGTAGTGCAAATCACACGACTGCATGTCTGTATCGATAGTATTTTACTATTTTTTATCGTTCTTTTTGGTACACCAGGAAAGCAATAAAGTGTGAAGTCATTGGTAAGATTTTCGATCTCCGTGGCGTGGCATCCACTAAGAATATGTTTCTATTCCATCAGTAAGAATATAATGCTACAAAATAAAGCAATATATGTGAACAAGAATCAAGCAATCAGGCAACAAGATTATGACACTGTCGAAATGCTGTTTAGTCCTCAAGAGCATATGAGCTAAGCAGGTTTTTGTGATCCATATTCCTGAATTCTCTGGTTGAGACAGACCTCTGCACATGACTCAACCTGTACGAGTGGTTACCTCGGTACATGTGTGTCGTGTTTTTACCATTCGGGATTGGGGGGCGATTCTTGATGTTCTTGGCAGCGTTAGGGTGGGCTCCACTTCTCGGGGAGCTTCTGCGGTTTTTCATGACAGGTGAAGGTATAGGCGGAGGAGGCCTGTCGTCCTTCCATGTCGGTTTAGAATTCGATGATGTGCTTGTTGTGGTACTGGAGCTTCCAGGTTCCTGGGTGAACACTGTTGAATCTGTATACTTACCACCTGCAGCCTCCTGGAACCAGAAACCAAATCTTAGTATATTTAATGTAGTGTTTTTTCATAGGGTGACTGATTGTTTAATGTTGTACCTCGTTGGAACCGCCAGAATCTCCTTTCGAGCTGCGCTCCTTTTGGGATTGAGACCTCTGCCGAGACGCCTTCTGCCTGCAACAACATCAGACAGACATCTGTTAAGTCCTCGTTGTAAATCCAAATTTCGGTTACTAGAAATTGAAGCATGTGCTCCATCTCAATTAAAAGCTTAAGCTGATAGTTGGATTGCACATTAATAGTTATATGCTCAACATGCCCCCTCACGTGTGCGGTGGGTTCCAAGCAACACGTGGACCGTAGTCGCTGCATGTGTTGGCTCTGATACCAAATTGAAGCATGTGCTCCATCTCAACTAAAAGCTTAAGCTGATAGTTGGATTGCACTTTAATGGTTATATGCTCAACACTAAAAACACATAAGTTTATTTCCATAAGTTGCCTTTTATTAATTGATATTCTGTATGACTAACCTTCTTCTCTCATACTTAAACTCTGCCTCTGGATGTTCTTTGCAGATTACTGGTAACTCTGAAAGGTCACACGCTAAGGGGCTTGTGTGAAAAAACTGCAACCATAATGTTACTTTACTGGATGATTCAAAAGTAGGAAAGGGTATATATGCATGATTGTATAAGTGTGTGTGTATATATATAAACGCTTGCCTGATTTTTGAGAGCGGAAGCTGCAGTGCCACGATGTGCTGGATCGAGGGCGAGAAGAACACAGAGAAGGCCCAAAGAAGAAGCGGGGAAGTGTCTGAAAGCATCTGTCATGTTAGACTTGTAGGCATATGGTGGCCTGAAGGTTGTCAAAATCCTTGTTGCCCAGTAATCATTTGAAGGCGTGCCACATAGCTTGAAAATCTTGTGGAGTTGCTCAACCTGCAGATTCGATTCTTTCAGCGAGGAATGCAAAGACCGACCAAACATGTGAGACAAAACATTCTAAGTTACCTCTGTCCTGCCGGGCATAATAGGCCTCCCAGCGAACATTTCAGCCATTAGGCAGCCTGCACTCCAGAGATCAATGCCCGCTCCATATTCAGTAGCACCAAGCAGCAGTTCGGGGGCTCTATACCACAGTGTCACAACTCGGTTGGTAAGAGGGCGGGGTTTTGCAGGATTAAAGAAGTTTGCTAGCCCGAAATCTGCAATTTTTAGCATCCCGTCTTTATCAATCAGTAGATTGGATCCCTTGATGTCTCGGTGCAGAATGCCCCTCTCGTGGCAATGCTGCAGCCCACATAGCAGCTGAAACATGTAACATTTCACCTGAATGGCTCCATGCACGAAACAAAACGATAGCTTTCAGAATCCTAAATGAAAATCCAATTGATATCTGGAAACAAGGATTGGTGTTTGTTTCTAACCTGTGGTTCAGTTAGCCTCCCATCGGGTCGAGATATAATGCTGGATAAATCGCACTGCGCATATTCAAACACAAGGTAGAGACTAAACTGCATTCTTGAAGTGGCCAGCCCTTCGAGCTTTATGATATTGGGATGATCCAGTTTCTGTAGTATCAAGATCTCTCGCGCCATAAATTTTATGCTTTCAGGTTCTGATGTGTCAAACCGAACTTTCTTTAGAGCCACGATCTTTCCTGTCCTCCTATCTCGAGCTTTATACACATTGCTATAAGTCCCGGAACCTATCTAAAAATTCCAACGCTCTTGTATCAAAGTCCAAGTTCAAGAAACGCCTAAACCATATATACTTGATAAGAAGGAAAAAATAGAGAAAGAAGCACAAACAATTAAACAAACCTTGTCTATTTTGTCAAAAGAATCTGCACTTTTTGGAACCAAACCTGCAAGAACCTCTCTGGGAATATTATCAACTAGCCATTTTGGCCACCCGTCGACTAGCTCTTCTTCCCTAGCAATTGGCCTCGAGTTTGCTACACCAATGCTCCCATTCTTCGGGTTCTCTCCCTCAACCTCAACCCCAACCCCGACCAACTTCCTTTCTCCACCCGCACCTCTGCTTCCAGCGCTGCTCCTTCGGCTGCTGACATAATTATCGACAATCCTAGTCCTTGGCTCGGGCCTCGAAGGGCCAGCCCCCCTTAATTCCTCGCTGAAATGCCTCTGTCCAGTTGATCTCCTGGCAGTCGCATATCCGTTCTGCAGCTTCAGTTTCTCCAAGCCTTGAGGTGGTGATGAAGTCTTTGAAGGCTTGGCTTGAACACACCCCATAGCTTGTCCAAGAAGTGCCCCTATTTTCCAATGATCCAAGTTCTTGAATAACAGGAGTCTTAATGATTAAATTCTGACAGTTCAGAAAGGACCAATACAACTTTTTTCTTTTAATCAAGAGCAAGAAGAAAGAAAAGAAAAAGCAGACATGTGGACTAAAGAAAGCAATGACTTCAAACTGCAGGCTAAAGTGTTAGGGGACACAAAGAATTGGTAAGAGGCTGACAAAGGAAGACGGCAGGCCGGCCGGCTTTTAGGAACAAAAAACTGCATATTCTTCTTCTGATACTTGATCACCTCTTTAGTTTTTAGCTCCACCCTTCATCATGAGTTACAGGTTTGAACATTTTATTAATGAGCTTTTTTGACAGATCCCATGAATTTCATACATTTCAGTGTCAGAAAAATCCCCACATTCTTCTTCACCTGTCTTTATCAGCAGATCAAATTCTGGATAAAAAAAAGTTGGCATTTTTGTCACAAACTGAATGTCCTTTCTACTGCTTGAAAGTCAAATTTAACAGCAAATTGATTAATCTTAACTTTTATTGATTATATGCCAGCTATCTTATTGGCAAGCTCAATGATTGTTGACAAATTTTACTAAGGTTATAGTGACAGCAATATGATGGCATATGATTACAGGCCTGCATAGGTTGCAGAAAGTGTTATTCTTGCATCATGGAAATTATTAAAGTTATTATCTTTTACTGTAACAAAACTTGGGATATAACAGACTCAGATTATGGCAAAGAAGAACAAAATTTGTGTACTTTCTGAAGAAAAAGGAATTGATAGTGTTTATACATTGAACAAGCACATAAAAATGGATGACTAAAAGAAAAAAGATTACATGAAATATTGGATATTACAGCAGAAGGTAGAGAGAGTAGGTAGGCTTGATTGATGATAAGCATGGTCTCATTCCAAGTCTAGAATCCCGAAATTCGAAAGTAGAATCTTAACTTGATCAACAAAGTCAGAGCCTGTAGCGTACTCCGTCAACATCCCAACAGCAAAACCAAACATCGCCCATCTGCTCAACAAATGTACGACATGTGGAAAGAGAAGTTATTGTGATATTGTAGGAAAGGGAAACTAACCAAGATTGGAAAGAATTGAAAGAATCATATATAAGCAGAACCAGAATAACCATTCAATTCTAAAACAACCTTTGAGAACTGCACAGAATGGTTTAAAGTGTAGAGGAAACAGCATTTGCTCTCAGAAACAGCATATGAATGCATTGCAGAATAAGTAAGCATATCTTTATTGCTTTTGTTAATGAATTGTAGTTTATAGGCATGTACAGTAATAAAAATCCTGTCATTTGGGGCAGGCACGGGGCTTTGGTGAGGAGAAGATTCCTCGAATCAATGTGAATCATGTCCAAATGAAGAGAAGGCTGTTTATATGCATCATATTATGAAGCACTCTCGGGTACCCAAGTCAGATGACACATCGGCTGAGAAGCTGGTCACTACTATCTAAAGTCCTTTTCAAGCAAGTTGCCCTTTCAATAAGGTACTGGATCTCTTAACGTTTTAAATACATATTTCTGTAATCCTGTGCCATGAAAACCATAAAAGAACCTCATCTTAATGATTACAAGCATGTGGTATCATAAAATAGAAAAGGTCTCGCAGATCATGACCACACAGATTAGAACTCTGAATTCTTTGAAGCTCGAAAATCTGCACCAATCTTACAATTCAGACCAACTTCAGCTTCTTGCACTATGAACTCTTTCTAACTTTAGTCATATGTGCAGCCAATGTTCGATTAATAACTGGTTCGGATGTACTTATACTTGTTGGAACTCTTGTCTAATTAAGGTTTGAGATCTTTTGCCAGCCTTTTAGCATCACTGATGTTACAAGATTGAATGACTTCTTTCACCTTTATAGAAATCATGCAAACATGGCCTATAAACACTCAACATCATCTTAGCAGAATCATTCCTAAGCATTTCCAAACATTTGGCAACATGAAGAAAGAAATCATATGATTTGTATTCCATTCCAAGCCCCAAATTTCTATCAGAGATTGAAATCCTTACAGTAGAACAAATCAAATAATCCCAATTTTAGGCTTTAAAACATAATCAGATGAAGTGAAGAGCAAAAATGGTATTTTTATTGTGATGCAGCCAATATATCTCCAGTTGAAGAGTAGAAGAAAGAAAGAATTGATGTATTGAGTACCTGCCATTGGCGATTTCATTCTTGCCAATAAACCCAAAGAAGGGGCCTTGATTAGCATCGTCTAGCTTCTTCTGTTTGAAGTATTCCTGCAATTCCTTAGCCTTCTGGCGCTGAAACTCCAGGGTAACCACACTCTTGTCCTCAACAGCCGCCGCCTTGGGAGGAGCACTCGGCGGCGGCGGCGGAGAAGCGGAAGGCGGGACCGGCTTTACAGGCGTGGGAGGGGAAGGAGCCACGGGTCTTCTGAAAGGGCCTTCAGCTTGAGAGTTCCTTATGTTAAGTGCGGGTGGCTTGGATACACAGAATCTCATAAAAGTATAGGAGGAAGAAGAAGAGGGAGTTGCTGGCGGCGATTGTACCACCGATCGGTTTGGGAATTTGATGCATGGGAATGAAGACGATGATGCCACTGACATTTTCTTGATTCTTGGCACCGCAGAGGAAGACGATGGAGTAAGTGGATGACAGGAAAGTTGTTTGGTCAAATAGTTATCAGAAACTTCATGCTGCTGATTTGTGGATAACATCTGCCCAACCCAACACTACAAAACAACCAAAAACTATGCTACTACATCAAGTTCTTATTCCTCAAATTTCAACTTTATCCTTAAACGCCACAATCCTCTCCCACTCCAGTCAATTATATATTTTAGTATGGATAACATCACTAAGTTTATCAAACTGTTGAATTATTTGAGTTGATTAGATATATGGAGAGTTTGGTAAATAATGGTTAGTTATAAGCTGATTAGGTTAGTAAGTTTGACTATTTCTGATAGCATTAGTTGATTATAGGGAGATGTAATTGATAGTTGATTACATGTAAACTGACTTTCTCAACAAAGTTGATCAAAAAATTGTTTTGACCAGTTTTTAAAATTTTTACTTTTTGAAGCAATAAGTTGTTACAAAAAATTAATTAATCAAACACTTACACGGCGTTTGGTTGGAGGGATTTTAAATTCCCTTCCCACTTAATTCTCACCTAATTCCAAAGGTCATTAAATTCCGTAGTTTGGTTGGAGGAAATTGCAATTCCATGGAATTGCAATTCCCCATTTTCATGGAATTAAAATCCCATGTCCCCCTGGTATTTTAATTCCTGGGAAAAAAAGATAGTGATAAGTCAAAATTACCCTTTCTTTTTTTAATCTAAAATTAATGTCTAACAACAATAATGGACATTTTTGACTTTATACTACTTATTCCCTTTCAATTCCCATGTATACCAAACATTGGAATTGAAATTCTCGGTAATTTTATTCTTGTCAACCAAACACTGGAATTTAAATTTCCACTTTATTCCCAGTAATTCAACTCTCATGGAATTACAATTCTTTTTCCACATAATTCCACCCCTCCAACCAAACGCCCTGTAATATATTAAATGTTTAATCACGTCAAACAGCTAATAGTAGTTAAATAAATCAAAATTGACTTATAGACCTATAAACAAATTAGGTTACCAAATAGCCAATCAGGGCCAAAGATAACTTACATTGATTTATCTACTTGCCTTTCAAACTTTAAGAATAATATTTATTATTTTTTTTAAAAGGACATGTTTTTACCCCTACAAAAATCATACAATTTTGACACACCTTAATGTGATTTTTTTTTTCAAATCTTTTTTTTTTTTTTTTGAAAATAATGTTGCAATATATTAATGAATGAAAGCAATAATAGAGTCAGGAGGGACAGAGTCCCAGTACAGCGATGTAGCCTGAAAAGAGGCTGTTGCAGCAAGAGTATGAACATGTAAATTCAAGGCTCTAGGAACTAAACTAACAAAACAGTAATTAAATGATTACATAGCAACTCTACATTTGTTAATAACAATCCCGACATAGGATATAGTCGGTGCGTGTGCTGATAAGAGGCTGCTTCGTAACTCCGAACAATCAGTAAACAAATCAATTGCATCCACATTCCAATCTTTCAACCAAGATAACGCTTCCTTACAGGCTAAAGACTCATCCATTAGGGGGGAGAATCAATACGATAGCTTACCACCACTAGCAGCCGGGAGGACCACACCATAACATCTGGGGTGCAATGGCGGTTGCGCCGACTCGTCTGGGAGCTGATGTTGTTGATGCCGCCGGTGGACTTGCTGCCAACTATTCAATGCCGAGGACGCCTGCTTCCACATAGTACTCGGCGGCGGTAGAGATTTCTCCCAAACTAACTGGTTTCTGGCTCTCCAAATTTGATAAAGAACTGCCACAATAATTTCCACAATTTCCTTAGGTTGAGATCGTAAAATATTTTGCATCCATAATGTAAAAGTTTCGGCAGCAAGTGATATATTTGACACGGCAGACACATGCCAAACTAGAGAAGATAGTTCACACAACAATAATGCATGCATAATAGTTTCATGTCCAAGGCCACATTTGGGACATGCGGGATCAATGCCTACCCTCTTTAAAACTAAATGTGATGGTGGGCAAAATATCATTGAGAACTCTTCAAACAAAACTCTTCCATTTCAGGAGTACATGTAATTTCCACCAAGCGGTCCATTCATCAAAACTTCCCAGGGGATCCTCTTAGTTCCCAAAATGTAAAATTAGAGAATGACAAAATGTGAAATGAGTTCCCAAAATGTAAAATTAGAGAATGACAAAAAGTGAAATGATTGTTGTGAAAACATTTAACATTGTTCATATAATAATAATTGAGTTTCTTTTGCTTTTTGTAATTGAATATTATATTCCTCCGCATTTCTATTCTAAAAATATGTAATCATATCATAAGACAAAGTAGAATATTCCCTCAAAATTAAATATCTCAATCGTTAAAATATTCTGTATTTAAAAAAGAAAATGATTCATCCTCTGACCAGGAAAGAAAAGAAGGGTGTGGCTTTTGAAATAAATGAGAATATATTATATAAACAGGATATATAATAAAGACAAGGAATTGTCAAAAAAAGAAAAGAAAAAAAGACAAGGAAATGAACAGTAACACAACATGATATTCAAGCAATTGAATACAACAGACAGACACAATTGATCAGTCAGCAAAAAAGAATGGGAAGAGATTATGAAACTTGTCTCTTGCATCCTTGGATCCCTCAGAGGCTTCTTAGTTCAAATGTCGGGCAAGTTTCCTTCCTATCCTATCCAAGGGAGGGAGCGACTGAACCTCATTTACAACCTCAAACATGGTCAAACTACATAATCTTGCACAAGCAAGTCCTCTGGCTCCTGCTATCAAATTCATCATCTGATTCGTCTTCGTCACTGCAATCACCGCCACAACTAAATGATAAGTTGTGGGACAATAGATATTTCCTTCCAAGCCCGCCATTTCAAGCGTAGCGTATAATACTATAATGCATCATTTTTATAGTTTTCAAATGTAAAGTATATATCACCCACATGCCATAGTTTGCAGAAACAGTAAATCAGTCATTTTCAGAATGCTGGTATTTTTCTGTTATAATTAACTTTAAAATTCGTTTGCCAAAGATGAAATACCAGGCCTAAGGCGGCTCAAAATCAAAGAAACATACTCGTGGAAAGAGTGCACCCCTATTAGTTCGTTCTGGGGTAGCATGATATCACAAAAAAAAATATTAGCAAATAACAACTTGAAGTCCACTTTATGGGAACAGGGAAGAGAAAAAGGCACCAAAAGATTCCAGATCCTGGAATGACCCATGTGCCAACACTCAATTAATTTTTATCAAGTGGAGAAGCTCCAAGTATTGGCAGCATGAGCCAGCTAAAGGAGCTTCATGTTATTGAAGGAAATACACATGCCCTTGGTTTTGTCTACAAGAAAAAATGGAGATGATGTGACCACCAAACCACAAATCTGATCAAATGCATTATCAGCACAACTGAAGCATGGAAATGCACATAAAAGTAAAACATTATAGAAAATTATGAGGTCATTTATATGTTTGTATCATATTGTAAATGGAAGAAACCAATTATTATATGCAAATTCTATATCTGCTGCTATAAAGCCAAGTCAGTATTTCACTATTTCCAATGACTCACAAAGTTTCCAATTTGCAAACTAAAATCTATATCTTTACAGATGTCCTTAATCACAATGAAATGACCTGAAAGAGAGTTTTCGTGTGCCCAAGAAGTGTTAATTTACAGAGACAAATTTTGTTTCCAAAAATGCAGATTGAGAACACTTCAGAGAGAAAACAGTTTTTGAGATATATTGGTACAAATATGCTGTTCACTAGAAAAATCATACTTCTTAGGTGGTAACAAACAAGTTAACAATAACCCAAAGCTCAACTTGTTCAATAATTTGCCTCTCCGTAAAAGTATAGCCAATCAGCCATCTATAAAAGCAACACTGAGTGTGATGCTCTTTAGTGTGTGCCAAAATGCAGATTTATTATATCAGAATATATTTCCCCTCTCTACATGGTTCACAATAAAACCTTCACAAGTCCCAAACACATATATTTAACATGAAGTAGTTCCTAAGCAGTCTCATAAGTCTTAACAATAAGAAAGTACCAACAAAGTTCAGCAATAAGCAAGATAAATATTATGAACTTATTTGCACTTGAAAGAATATTGAAGGATCTGGAATTCATACCTAAGCTCAAATTCCCGGACCTCAAAAAGCTCACCACCAGATGAATCTGTCCATTGTACTTTCCTTCTCTCAGTATGACCAGAGACATCATTACTCTTTTCACATAATGCCTCATATTCATCAGTACTTTCACCAGAAACTGCTATGCTATTTGCAGCTTTCTTTAAGCAACTTTTAAGGGCACCCTCAACAGAGGTATTGCCATCTTTCACAAGACTAGCAGAATTAATTTCATCATTTCCCTTCCCAGAAGGAGAACAGATTGATTGTGAGACTTCTTGGTGCTGAGTAGAATCAACCTTAAGGGGAGATGGGTTATCAAGTTCAGCGGCGGCACCACCAAAACAGACTAAGGAAGCGCAACCGCTAACAAGCCTATTCTTGCAGGAAGCCAGTTGAAGATCAGACTCAGTTTCTTGATCCACCAACTGGTACTGGTTCCACGGCGTAACTTTCATTGGCTTTTCTTCATTTTTCTGACCCAAAAGAAGAAGAGCAAGGCCTTTGCTATACCCAGAAGCTGAAGAAGAGAAGAAACCTCCTCCTTCTACTGCCAATAACATCAGTTCTCATCCAGTCAGCATCCAAATACTTTGGTATTCAGCAACTCCCTTAGCTTTAAAACTACCCGTGACCCTTTACTGCCGCAGAAGGCAGTCCAATGGGACAAACAAAGAATCCTAAAAACAACCAATTCGAACAAATCAGCAAGCACGGCAATTTAGAGATAAACAAAGCATACTAGCATGAAATATCCTTAGAGAAATTAAAATATTCCAATATGGAATGCAACATTCTACCGACTATCAGTATTAATATAAGGAGTTCCTCCAACTTGATCCGATTCGGAAGTAAACCTATATAACCAACCATAGGTATAATTTTAACAATATATTATAATACGGAGTATTAAAAAATTACACTCATTAATCAACAAATTATTCAACTTCACTATAAGCTTCTGCATAAATACATCGACATGAAGATCAATACAACAGACTCACAACTTAACATTTCCATTGCTATTAAGTTAACGCAAAAAGAGCAATCTGGCGATTCAGAAGGCACAAAACAATAAGGAAGTTGTCGATTAATATTTAATACGCATAGAGAATTATAATAGCAAAGGAGAAGAAGATTACGGATCTGAGAAATTCCGGTGACACTTCACCGGACCGGCGACAAAACAGCGATATGTAATGTAATGTCAGTTTGTGGATGAAGATATATAGCATGTGCGGTGGTACATTCACACATACACAGAGCGTAGATACAGAGGAGCTACATGTGCGTCTGAATCCCCCCGAATTCATTCAGATGAAGCTCAAAACAAACTCAAACTTAAGCGGAGGGGCAGGGGCACCCAGCCACCCACTGTCTGGCGCGTGATACTCATACTCATGCCCCCTATTTAATCATTTTTATTCTTAATAACTCATATTATATCTTAGACTTTATGAAGAAATATTCTTAATAATTCAGATTATATCATAGACTTTATGAAGAAATAAATTGAGGATCACTCTGCATTCAAAAAAAAAATTGAGGATCACTCTAGCTTATCTTGTTTATTTATAATTTATTCAGTAATGTTACATTTCTTCGCTTATTTGCATTATTCTACGCAATAACATTTGATTGATTCTATTTATATTTGGTCAACTAATTTATATAATATTGTAATCAATGAATAAAAATAATTTTGTTATAAAGTAAAATAATAAGGAAAAAAATAGCATTATTCTAATTTATATGCATAAAAGTGTATATTGTGTCTATAGTATCCTTACACTTATATAAAAAGAATATTAGCTTTTGTTATGTAATAGAGTTAATTCCAGCAATAGTCCTTCGACTATATTGATTTTCCAACATTAGTCCTCGATTTTTAATTTGAACATTTTACGTCCCTTGACTTTCAATTTCTTTTCAATTGAGGTCCTTTCGTCAAATTACGGTAAATTGGACTTTAAATGAAATGGTAAAGTAGTCATTTTATCTGCCTAATGTATAATTCTTCGTATTTCTCTATTGTATGCGACTTCGGGCATCAGATTCACTTAATTGCTTAATCCCTAAATCCACTCGAAGAACAAAATTTCATTAGGGATTAAGCAATTAAGTGAATCTGATGCCCAAAGTTGCATATACAAGGAAGAAATATGAAGAATTATACATTAGGCAGATGAAATGACTACTTTACCACTGAGCACTCATCTGTGCACCACTCAACAACACTTTTAATGCACCACCAAAACATACGTTATCACCAAAATTATGAAATAACCCCGCGTTTTTTCTCATCTGCATTGTATTCCATCCGTCTGATGACTCTGATCTGTTATCATCCAAGACTCTAGCATATTCGCACGACCGCATGGAAAACAGTAACCACATTTTAACCTATTTCTCTCTATATATATAGCATGTCTAATGAAAAGCTAATTTTGACTAAAGCATGAGTAATTATTGTATAGGTAGTATGTCTTTTATGAGCTATGGTTTAAGCAATGTATATATATATATCATGCCTGATGAAAAGCTAATTTTGACTAAAGCATGAATAATTATTGTATAGGTAGTATGTCCTTTATGAGCTATGGTTTAAGTAATGTATTCAAACATAGAGAGACTACAATAGACATTTTAACTTTATTTTTGGATTTATTGATTATGGCAATGCGTTTAATTTATTTATTTTTATTTAAAAAGAGGGATAATGCATGTACTAAAAATGATTATGAACAGTGAAGTGATATGATACTAATATTTAATTACAACAATTTGTGAAATTACCACAAAAGCATTTGTTTATTACAGTTAGGTGGGAGTGGATTTTTGTTTTTAAATTTTTTTTGATAAGCAATTAAAGTGGAAAGCTTTCTTTTGTTTGCTTCCTCATTTTGGGTGTACAATTTATAAGCAACTCTCTTTTAACCCATCATCATAAATTTTGATTTTATGAAAAAATCTCAACCACGATTTAAAACTGCGTTATAAGCAAAACATGTTTTATGACCTTAACCAATAATCAATCATAAATTATCAAGTATGATTCAAAAATGTGTCATAAGTGAAACACGCTTTATAACCTTAACCAATAATCAATCATAAACTATCAAGTATGATTCAATGATATTGTTAATTCGTATTTTTAAAAGAATAATATTATGTTGTAATTTTTAAAATAATTTGTGCATAAACACAATAAATTTTGGGTTAAGTTTGATTTGTTCTTGGCTCCATTCAATTATTTGATGGATCCAATAAAAGTCCTAACATTTTCCCAGGAACAAATGTATCTTCATCGTCTAAAGATATTAAGATAATATTGTTTTGGGCATAATTAACAGCTGTATGTCCAAATTCTCTTGGCTTACCAACTGGTCAAAAGGAGGATATGATCATTTTGTAGTTCCATAGGCAGCTACACCGTGGTGGGGTAAGTAAACCAATGCAGATAGATATTAGATAGGCAAATTAAAGGCCATTTGTCTGGCAAGGAAAAGAGAGGTGAGAGGTCCCAAATTCTTGGTGCCTAAACAATTAAATCAATCAATTTGTTGAGCTATGGCCTATGGTACCCCCATAAAGCCCTATCTAACAAGTTGCATATATATGTCCTGGGATTCCTTTGGTTGGGCAGTAGCCTCTAAGGAAAGACTAATCACTTTTCACAATATATGTATTTGATGATCAATCACCATTGTTGGTTAGGGTGGAAAGATTTCTGATGTGCGGTATAATTCAACTAGTTGACTAATTTTTGAGAAATTTAAAGAACAAGAGAGCTTCTTAGGATTGGAGTGCAATCATTTTCGAAATCTCTTAAATGGAGATTTTATTGTTAAAGTTCTTAAATATGATAGTAGGTTAGGGACTGTGGGGGGCAACCACCTTTTAAAATTCTTTGAGTTAATTAACAAAATGGTCCCTTGACTATAGCAAAATTATCAATTTAGTTCCAAGTTAACGGTTGACTAACGGTCAAACAAACGGAGGACCAAATTGGTTAAAAATTTTAAAGTTGAGGGACTTAATTGGTAAAAAAAATAGTCAAGAACCAAATTGGTAATTTCGCTATAGTCAATGGACCATTTCGATAATTAACTCAAATTCTTTTGACTTACTTATACATAAGCATACTACATAAAATTTAAGAATTGATGTTGCGAAAATTAAAATATTATGAGTTGATGTGTAAAAAATGTATAATAACGTCTTTGTCTATTGTAAAAATACTTAGTAGATGATGACAACTGAGCTGCTTTTCATTTCAAAATCCTATCTTGAGAGAGCATCGAGTATTGGCTAAAAGGACCTTGGACCCTCCAATGCCATTTTTCTGCAATTTGTTGGTCTTAATATAATGCTGACATGTTGAAATTTTGGTAAATGGTAAGAGGAAACGTAAAGAAGCAGCAACTCATTCACAGATTCTTAAGTTAGCCTTATTCCAACAAATATGACATTGGGGTAAAATAAGGTGGCTAGTAAATTTACTAATGACAGCTTTTGTCGTTACGCTCATACTTTTTTTTTTTTTTACGTTTAATATCATATCAATAAAGCAGAAGTTTGGCAACCTCAATAGCGGAACGGATAACGGAGACACTCGAATCAGACGCAGTGGCAATCTATTCATTCAATTCGGAAGAGACCCCCTGCCAACAACTGATCTAGCTCCTAAAATATAGAACATTCTTGATCCTTCCTTTTTTTTCTCGATAAATGCGTTGTCTCCCGGTAACTGCAGCTAAGACTGCTTCTTCCTTGTTCACATTCGACCATGAGTTGAAAGATCCTAGTGATTAGCCACTTCATATCAAGATAAAAGCGTATATCAAAACGACTTCTGGCATCACCGGAAGGATCGAAACCACATTCGTAGGCCGACAATTTTTCTGGATAGGTCGAATTATTAGAAGAAAATGAAAAAGGAGCACAGAGTGGCCTACCCCTAAGTCCTGTCTGCAGTAGCTGTTTCGCTTCTATTATAGATGACCGAAGAGCGGACTTCTTTCCGGAATTATTATTTTATTATAATATGAAATGAAATCTATATTTTAAAATAAGAGAGATTTATAATAGTGGAGAAATTACAAATTTGATGATGTCAAATGAGATCCATTTTTGAAAGTGAGAAATTTGCAAGGATAAGGATAGGCACCTACTTATGAAGCATTTAGCAAACATAAAAATCAGGGAAAAACAACATTGTATTCCACAAATTTGGTGTTTTGCTACATACATTGATTTTTCCCACTTTCTTTAATCTTTCTTCCCCCCTACACCCAATTACCCAAATCACAATAGCACTAGCAACCCTAGAAATGAAGCAACCATGTCATTTCTACTTGCTAATTCTAAAGAAATTGCAGCTTCTAGCGACATTACAATTAAGGAATTCTTCAATAAGGAGCTTCATGAACTGGACTTTCGGCATGCATATCCATGGAGGCATCGTTAGAGTTATAGCCATTAGAGTCCCTATTGTGCACTTGGAAGTTTGGTTCGTCGTGCTTTATTCCATTTGCAGTAGGACCTTCATTCGCGTAGTAGTCTCCCTGAGCAATGTGATAGTTTTGCAGGCTTCGCCGAACAGGACTTGACAAAGCATTTGAGAAAACATAATTCTTTGGTTGTTGATCATAATGATCGGGTCGAATCCCCTGCCCAGCAGATGGAACACCAGTTGAGCCCAAAGACACCGGGAAGCCAGAGTTTGCAACAGGCATTGGCTGTGAATGTGGGTTCTGGAATGGAGGCCTGGGCGACATGGATTGCTCCTCACCATAGTTGTTTAATTCTGACTATTATAAGGAAAAAAGCAGATAAATAAGTAAATGCTTACACACATGATAAGGTAAGATGTTACAGAATATTTAATTTTTTTAAAAAAAAAAAAACTATTATACGACAGCAGTAAATCCATAGCATCAGGTCCACGTAAATTATCTCATAGAGGGTATTACTGCTCAAAGTGCAATTAACATTTATTAACATGAATGTTTCCTCAGGTCCATTGGCAAACAAATACTCAAAGTGTATAAAAAACAGAATCAATCTTTTCTACAAACAAAACGGTAACAGAATTTGTAAAAAAAAAAAAGAAAAACCTGAAGGTAATTGAGAATGTCAACTGTGGTTACTCTTGATCCTCCCTCTTGTAGCCTCAAGATCCACTGGTACAACTTCTCCTATTATATATTTAGAGAATAACCAAAACAAGCTAGACTTAGTTTAGTTCCTTTACATAGTAAAAGATAAATCTTTCATGATAGATTGAGAAAAAAAAAATTAAAAGTCAATTGACAACAGAAATAAAGTCATTTGTAGCCATGTGACAAGTTACCAAACTTCTCTTCAGGATCCAAAATTGCT